GCATTATCAGCCCCTCCCCAACCCATCTAGGACGGATCGTCCTGCACTATCCAGTCCTTCCTTTTTTTTTTGTTAAGATTTTATTTATTTATTTGACAGGCAGAGATCACAAGTAGGCAGAGAGGCAGGCAGAGAGAGAGGAGGAAGCAGGCTCCCTGCTAAGCAGAGGGTCCGAAGCAGGGCTCCATCCCAGGACCCTGAGATCATGACCTGAGCTGAAGGCAGAGGCTTTAACCCACTGAGCCACCCAGGCACCCCTATCCAGTCCTTTCTTGACCTGACTTCCATTTCCGGCCTGTACCCCTTCTTGAGCCACCCGTTCTATCTGTTGATCTCCCCTTATTTTCTGACTTAAAGACTGGAGATGGCAAGAGTCCCTCCCATACTACTCTCAACCCCCCACATCGGGGTCCTGTTGCCCTTAGTAATAATGGTTGTTATTTATTAAGTGCTCACGAGAGAACCTGTCCCCACCAAGTGCATCATGTGCATGATCTCATTTAAGAACGCTCTGAAGTAGGTGTTCCCTTAACAAATGAGACTTGAAGAGCTTTAGCTGGTTGCGCCGGGGTCACCCAGCTAGTGAGAAGTGGAGGCCGGATCTGACCCCAGGTCCTCAGTCTCTAGTACCAGGGCCGCTGCTTTCAAGGAAGAAAGTCAGAGGCTGAACGCTCACGGTTTCCGTGTTGGCCAGCCAGCTTTCGCTGCGACGGCAGTGGGTGCGGCAAGTGAGGACAGTTTGGCGTCTCTAATTTTGAAGCCACGGACTGGCGGGTGCTAGGGTGTGTTAGTAATCACTCTTCATTCACCTCGGGAGCCACAAGCCCGCATTGGTTCTCTAGGTTCAGCAGCGTGGACGAGGGAAACTCTGTTGCCATCCAACACGCTCGACGGGGACTTAGGAAAACTTGGGTGAGCAGAGAGGTTGTTCCAAGTCAGAATGTAAAGATAGTCCTACTTTATGTATGTGTGTGTATATATATATACAACATATATATGTGTGTGTGTGTATATATATATATACAACATATATACATATGTGTGTGTGTGTGTGTGTGTGTGTATATATATATATATATTTTTTTTTTAAAGGGAGGTGCAGAAGACCTCAGCCTCCTCAACAAAGGGTCCACAAAGGGCAGGCCTGTGGCCCCCTCAAGTCTGCGAGGGTGCACGCCCCATGGGCAGCTGGACAGGGCTCCTGCATGGATCTCTTCGTCCCACTGCTGAGGGGAGACTCAGCTCTGGGCACACCCCTCCAGCAGTGTCCCACACCCTCTGTGACCGGCCTCAACTGGAGTCTGGTGCTGGAATGTCCCCATTATTAAGCAAAGGTTGGGAGAGGCCCAGGTCCATCTTTGTTTTTAAAGCTCCTAGTAATAGGAAGGAAGGAAGGAAGGAAGGAAGGAAAATGGAAATCAGGACTACAAAAATTGGTTTATGTTTTTCATTGTTTAGCACCTTTTAAAGATTTATTTTTTTTAATTTATTTGACAAACAGAGATCACAAGTAGGCAGAAAGGCAGGCAGAGAGAGAGGAGGAAGTAGGCTCCCTGCAGAGCAGAGAGCCCGATGTGAGGCTCAATCCCAGGACCCTGGGATCATGGCCTGAGCTGAAGGCAGAGGCTTTAACCTACTGAGCAACCCAGGTGCCCCTGTTTAGCACCTTTTAATATAAAAATAGTATAATTGTGCTAATCGCAAGGTCACTATAGGATTTGTAAGGTAACTGGGGCTCAGAGTGCCCTAGAGTTCATGTAATCCGGTTCTTGCCCCCGCTGAGGCTTCAGGCCTCATCCAGAGGTAGCTTACAAGCTTTTGAAGCCCGCTGTGAGTTCCAGAATGTGTGACTTGAGCCGCCTGGCCCTCCTGGCTTCCCTATGGTAGTCCCTGCCACAGAGAAAGGGAAGAAAAAGTCCTTCTATGTCCAGGCAAGACTCCCACAGGCCAACAGGCCCCCCATCCGCGTCCTTTCTATAACATATGCCTTTCAGACCAATACCAGCTGATTTCAAAAGTCAAAAAATTCTCCCTGTCCCCAGAGTGAGCAGGACAAGGAAGCAAACATCACGGAGGACCTAAATGATGGGACCATTACGCTTATATTATTTCATTGCTCTCACAACTGCCCTGGGACGGTGTAAGCATTATTTAACCTGTTTCTATATGAGTTACATTATTTGTCCAAGTCACGTGGCGTATCCAAGATTAGAACCCAGAACCTTTGACTTTCCAGCCTTTGAGTCTGACCATGCCACGAAGCCCCACGAAGCTAAGAGGAGCCCAGGGAGCCTGGAAGGGGGCCTGGGGCAGCCCCTCCCCTCGGTGCCCCCGTGGGGACACACTTTGACCTTTCTGGATCTTTTTACTGTTTCCTTCTCTTCCTGTTCCTTCTCCCAGCTGGCTTGCTGCCACCCCAATCTGCTCCTTGCTTATGATACTTATTTTTCCATCCACAGCAAAACAATTCACATCAAGGTAATTGATGATGAGGCGTATGAGAAAAACAAGAATTACTTCATTGAGATGATGGGCCCCCGCATGGTGGATATGAGTTTTCAGAAAGGTGTAGTACCCTGTCCTCCACACTAACATTAACGTTCTTCTCTCCTCTCCTCTCCTCTTCTGGTTCTTTCTTTCCCCCATCTGTTTGTCTTCTATTCTCCCTTTCTTCTGCCTCTCTAAGTCCACGTCCCCTTGTTTTCTTTGTTGTTCTCTCATTTCCTTTCTTTGCACCTCTCCCTCTCCTCTCTCTGATCCCAGCACTGCCCTAACACCCATCAGCCTGTCACATGGTATCCGTAAGAGGGATGTTCAGGAGTCAACTGTAATTTTTGTGAGATGGAGAAATGGATATGGGAAAAACACAGCGTGGGGGAGAGAGAAAGAGATAGTCAGCCAGAGCCCGGAGTATCATATATAGGGCTCTCTGCTTCTCCTGGATGGCTTTCTATATGGGAAGGAGAAAGACCACACAATACGGCGCCAGGTGGGAGGGCAGTGCTGGGAAACTGGCCTCTGTGCTCAGCACAGATTCCCATGGGCCACTATTCTCAGGGCTAAGCTTAGAGTCTGCAGACATTGGCAATCAGTATATTTGGATTTGGGTTCTATTTATGGTTCATCCCATTCCTCAGAGTAGGCCTTAGGAGCCATTTTTTCTGCCATATTCCTGCTATCAAGGTGTGTTTCCCTCCTGACCTTGATTGAGCTGAAAGTAGAGGTTTTAGTTTGAGGTCAAGGTTGCAGACCTACCTGCCAGCCTCTTGTTTTCCCTGCAGAGAACATCTAGGTGTGATGGCAGAGACTTAGAATGGTGGGATGGGGATTATGGCTTGAGTGGAAGCTTTCCCACAAGATCACAGTATTTCTCAGAGTAGATGAAGCCTTTGCCTTCAACTTAAATGACCCCACACACCCCAGACTTCCCATAGGCAAGTCAGAACACCCTCTTCTGGACAGACCATCTGGGTCAAGGGGAGCCACCAGTATTTGGGGACAACATTCCTTTCCTCCAGTCATATCCCTCCAGCCAGGCCCTTGGTCCCAGAGCACCCACTCCTAACCCATAGCAGAGTCCCTGCAAGGGAAAAGCTGCCAGGCTCACAACTCCTAGGTAGCCCCAGTTTCCCATATCTAGGGCTTAGAGAGAAGTTTCTAGAAAATCTTCTTGATAGTCATTTAGCTTTGTCTTTTGTCTACTGAGCAAGGTATGTAAAGGTGTCCAAAAATAGCACCGAAAAGGGTGACCCAGAGTGTACTTGTGAAACACACACACAAAATACAAGTGCACAGCAAACCTTATGGCCAGCAAACGCCCTCAGATCAGTCTACCATTTTACAGATAGCAAAGCGGAGCGTGTCTTCAGAAGGAAAGAGGAACATCAGAGGCTCTGACGAGACATTTTAGGTTATTGTTTGTTAGTACATCTCTGCCCTTTAGAGAGCACTTAGGTCCCAGGCCAAAGACAAAGCAAGCAGAAAATAACAATCATGGCTCGCTACTGGGACGTGCGAACCCCACTGTGGTTCTAGGGAGGACCAAGATGGGGATCGCAACTTCTCTAATGACAGCTGGCCTGATCCAGCCTCATGCGAGTCTCTGGAGGGGAGCGATTTTCCAAGAAACTTGGCTTCCCTCAGTGATTTGTTTCTAAACGACACTATGCTTTGTTGAGATGCCGAGAAATGATTATCTGGGGCCTGGGGAAAATGGTGAAGGAGGTTTCCCCAGGTCCTAGATAATCAGCATTTAAGGAAGCCAGCCTTGGGACTTATCAGCGCTATACAATAGAAGTACAGAGGTGATTTAGAATTTGATGACATATCATTTTCTTTACATTTTCCTAGGAGTGCTTCAGCGGTAAATATTAAAGGAGTCCTGTATCACATTATGGTTAATACATACTCATTTTAGTTCCCACTGCTGGAGCCCTGATCAAGAATGACAAAGATATTAGAATTCTGCCTTCCTTTCTCTCTCTCTCTCTCTTTCGTTTCTCTCCCTCATAAATACTTTTGAAGTTTTCTTTAAGACGCTCACATAAGAAGTGAGTATAGACACAGGAAGGGAAAACGAGCCCCTGGCTCGGTACTATTGGTATATCTCCTGTTGGAGAAGGGCCCTGGATCGTTCCCAATGGGTCAGTAGTTTACCTGCTTCCCGAGGAAATGCCAGTTACCATGTGACACCCCGTGGAATGTGCTGCCCAGCTGACTTCTTACTAACCATCAGCAGGATCTAAACTGACCCCCCCACCAGCACTCCCCCTTGCCCTTCCCCTTTCCCTCCTGTCCTCCTGGAACCCTTCCTTTGCCCACTTTTCCTTGCCTCCCGGCTCCCTTTCCTTCACACCCATAAGCAAACTACGACCAAGGAGACAAGAAAAGCTGAGACCGTTTTTTTATATGAGAAAAATACAATCCACTGTAGTCCTACTGGATGCCGCCACAGCGGGACTGGGCTGCATGCGCCAGGAGTGATGGGGAATGATTTTAAAGGCTGTGCTCCAAATGACCAACCAATCTACCGACCCAGTCGACACCCTCTCTCTCTTGTTGTCCCTACAGGAAAACCATAAGGGTTAAAATAGTAGATGAGGAGGAATACGAAAGGCAAGAGAATTTCTTCATTGTCCTTGGTGAACCGAAATGGATGGAACGTGGAATATCAGGTGTGAGATTCTTTAAAAAAAAAAAAAAAAAAAAAAAAATCAACAACATCCAAAAAAAACGAGAAAAAATTGAAACTGAAAAGCAACAGCCACAAAAAAAGCAACTCTGTTTTTTTTCCTCCCTGCCCCCACCCCTCACCATTTTCTTCCCTTTTCCTTTTTCCTCTTTTTGACCAACGGACTTTTTTATTCTTTTCCCTCCTGTATTCTCGCTCTCACCCTGTTTCGGTGTCATCTCTGCCTTCTTAGCCTTAGCTGATTCCCCAGTCCTCCTTTCCCACCTTCTGGACAGCGCTGCAGCCTCAACTTCTCATTACCCTACCGAGTTACCTCCTCCCGCCCCGTGCTCCAGAGATCTGATCACCACTGTCCCTGGCACTCTCCCCCACAGCCCCCACACATCCATGGAAGGTGTAACTGTGGAAACTCCTTGGTGGGTGGGGAGGAGAAGAAAAAGAAAGGAATGTGATGCCATGCATGTCTGTGCCCTTTCCTGCCTTCTTGCCCTCCCACCCTTCACCCTTGAGCCTGGATTGAATTGGGGGGAAGAGTCTGGGATGGGGGCCGGGGCCCGTGTTGCAATGATGCTTTGACAGTTTCCTGCTGCATTCCCCAACCTTCCTTGAGTGCGTGGCGGGTTATTCCCTTGCAGAGTGGTTCATAGGCCCCTCTGCCCTTCATGGAGGTAAGTGTTTTATCTGACTATTTCACAGCTGGGGAGACCATGGTATGAAGAGGTGTGCCAGGTGTCAGAGGCCATAGCTTCTGAGACCTCTCTGAGACAGAGCTGGCTTCGGAAGTTTTCATATGCTCTGGAGTCCTGAACTATTCTCCCTCCCCCTTGACATCCAGCCCATCTCATTCTACCTTTATTCAGGCTGCTTTAGGACCATGCAATCCCTAAAGCAGAAAATTGAGAGTCTGCAAAAAGAAGGCAATAACTCCAGGTATGGGAATCTCCCCAGCCAGAGGGCCCTGGAAAAGGACTAACACTGGGTGGGCCCAGAGTATTGACTTATGGGTTTTCCAATAGGAGAAGGGCCTCTAAATGGTGTAGTGGGTTTTGATCCCTGAGAAATAACACAGTTCACCGAAGCCTGCCTGGCTGGGCATCTGCAAATAGGCTTATCACCCAGATCCCAAGATAACCCTCATCTCCCACCAGAGGAGTGGCCCCATCTCCTCCCTTCCTCAAGACATGCATCTTGGAATACCTGCTAGGGTTCCATTCCTAAGGAACTGATTATGTTGCAGCCAAGGAAGATATAAGGAAAGATTTCTTCCCTTGAAGAAAAATGATTGGAAACCACTACTTCGAAAGTGCTGGAGAGCATATGTGGGATTGGAGAAGGGTGCTCTTGGGAGGTACCAAGAGAAGGACATTCACACTCCCTTTCAGGAGAGAGATGCTTCTGGGAGCCTCATGGAGGATGGAACAGTGAGACCCAGTTGTTTGTCAAAAAAGGGAGATTATTCTGCAACTACTCCATATTCACATGACAAAGAGCAGCATAAAGCCTTTCCTTAAAGGACAGATCTAAGGGATTCAGCAACTATACTCCTAAAGCCTTATCGACAGGATTGATCAGTTCTCACTGTCTTCTGGGGACTCTCTGCAGATCTGACCAGTTCTGTGTCTACCTAGGTTTGGGTATGCCTAGTGTCCTAGGGGCAAAAGCCCTCTCCATCTTCCATTACTCATCCTCTCCTTGCCACCTGATAGGATGTCGCCATAATTCTGACTGCCAGAGTGTGAGCGAGGGGAGAAAATCTCTAGTTCCATTGTTTAGATTGCCAGTCCGCCAGTTGCTACCACTGAGAACATTCTCAGAAATTGTCTCAACACCTGCCCTACCTCATTCCGACTTCCCTTGTGCATCTACTTCACCGCCTCATGATTGGTTGGATGCAGCAGACACCTAAGGCCATTGTAAACTAGATTTATCAATTTCTATAGTCTGTTATGTAGGTGCAAATGAAAGCAGCGCAAGAGATCATTCAGGGTAGCTGGAAAGCAGGCAGTGGCTCCAGACAAAACGAATGGGTTGAAAGTCTATCCGTGATTTTATTCCACCAGTAAAGAGGCCTCCCTCTTCTTTTCTGCCTCCCCAATAAACCCTGATCAACAGCAGGACAGGGAGGGACCTAAGATACACCTTGCTGTCTTCAAGAGACTTGGCCAAATGCAAATGCCTTTGGCTACTCCCCATTTGAGGACACCCCTCTTTTTTTGCCCTGGACTCTTTGTCCAAGGAGATGTCAGCAGAGTCCTAGTGGAGCCTAGTCCCAGGGAGTGAGTAGGTGAGAAGGCAAGGACCCTCCAGGTCTTCCCAGTGACCAAGATGCCAAGATCGAAGGTGCCAATAGGAAATATGTGCATTTCCCGACCTCCTGGCCTATTGTCTATTTTCAGTGTCTTCACATCTTCCCATATTTTGGCATTAGACCATTAGGTGAAAGGTCATACAACTGGATTGTCTAGACTCAGAATCACATGAAAACCCATCCTGATTTTCAGAATTCCCTGCTGTTCTAAGAGTGAGAAACTGTACAGTAGAAAGCTTTTCATGACCACTGCTGCATGGGGGAGTCTTAGGCATTCAGAACAGCCTAGACTTTGCATGATCAAAATGACAATTGAGTTACCGAAGGAAAAAAAAAAAAAAAAAGCACTACATTTGAAATAGCAGATTCTATTCTTGGCAGACAAAACAGACTTTAGAGGTGAGATTAAATGCTCCGGATAAGCTAGAGGAGGGAAAAGGGAGGATGAATAGGAAACATGGTTGTCGTGGCTTAGAGTAAGTGCCAGAATCTAGAAGTAGACATCGGAGGGCAACGCCAAGCAGCATGGTCAAGGCTGTTGGGCCTGGACACTGGGAGCCTCATGTGGAAAGGAAAGCATTCTCCCCCAGTCATGGGGCCTGTCTGTGCCCCCTCTTACCACATCAGTGGGCTTCCCCTGACAAGCTGCCCAGATGCTTCCAATTACTCACAGAGCTATGCTATTTCCTGTATGTCCCTGGGGTGTCCAAGCAGGGATAAATGATGCTCACCTGACCCTGGGGATCAATACAGGGGAAAGTTCAGCTGCAGATTCTCTCATCAACAGCAGCAGGAAAAACAGCCTGGAGGTGTTATGTCACTCAGAACTGGCCTATCTGGGTCTCGCTGACCCATCTGTAACTGCTAAGTGGAAAGTCTCAAATTCATGTAGACAATGACCAGAGAATAGGACCATTTCCGGCTGACTGCAAGCCCTCTGCTTGGGAGGGACTTCTGAGTGAAAACCAGGCCAGGAGGGACCTTTCTGGAAGAGCTTCCTCTTGTCTGGCCTACCTGGGTTCACTGATGTATTTGGGTTTCTGGTTTCCCCTGGAGCCTGGGGGGCCAGGAAGGGCTCTGCTTCCATGCAGCTCCATAAAAGGAGCAGAATGAACAAGCTCTCTTGCTATCTGTCTATCTATCCATCTCAATGTAGCAAAGAGAGTCACTCACTTACCCCCCTTGGAATTCCATATGGCCTCGAGGAACCAGAAAAAGTCAACTGCTGTTCACTCTGCTCATATACATAAAAATTCTCAATCCACAAGTGTCTTCAGTGGTTGTGACTGTGAAATGATGGATCGTTGGCCGGAGCTGCCTTCCTAGAGATTTTTAGAAGAAACAATTCACAGACACCACCCCCGCTCCTTCCCCAGCACCATCAGTCACCAGCCGTACCACGAGTATGTAGTGGGATGTTCCCAGACTTCTATATGACAAGAGCCAGGGAGTGTGGGGCTGTACTGAGACACCATTGAGAGGGAAATGTGGTATGTCAGAAGAATTTTTTTAGCATAAGTACAAATTTGGGAGCTAGGGATGCCCTGTGTTAGGTACATCTAACTCAGCTTCCCAGTCCCACCTACAAACAGCTTTCTGTATAACAGTTTCTCTGGTCCAGGATACCTGGACCCTATTTAGCCTGTCCTTTCTGGAATAAAGACACCACTCTGCCAGGCGCAGCACCACAGAATCTATAAAAAATACAATTGCCAAACTAGGTGGCAAGAAAAGATATCTCTACCAAACACCTACTAGTTGCTGTGACTTTGCCTGCCACAGGTAATACCAAATGGTATTACCCTAATCTCCAGGCTGTATCTCTAAAAAGATAAACCATTCAGAGAAGACGTTTTGCAGAAATTACCTTTTCATGAGGTCCTCCTTTGAGGGGAACTCCAAGTTCTGGCCAGTGTGGTAGCTAGGAAGCTATTTGTGGCCATGGGAGTGGCATGGGCACTGGGAAGCTAAGCTCGATCTGGTTATAAAGTTAGGACTAGAAGACACAGGACTGAGCACTGTTCCACTCTTGTAGACCACTGCTCAGGACCTTGAAACCCTAGGGCCATGTGCCCCACTGATAAGCCAGCTACACTATACCGTTTTCATGGTAATTAGATCCTCATTCTTTTACAGAATAGATACGATAACCTGATTTCTTAGAACAACACGAATGACCAACTCTGTCTCTGCTCCACTCACCTGAATTCCCCATCCTCCTTCCTTTTCCCCTTGTGCCCAGAGCTGTAGGAAATGTGTGGGGAAAGTCAGGGCTCTGGCGCTCAGCAGTCCCTCCAGTGGCTTACACCTCTTGCTGCTGCTGTGGTTGCACATGCTCCAAATGCTGCCCTTTGCATGTCGCTGCAGGGCTCTCACCCACTAAGCTCACTGCCTTCCTTACCCTGCTGCAACCACAAAGCCTGGGGATACTTTCAAGATGGGACCTTAATGCTCTTTCCTTTTCTTTCTTCCCCTTGTCTGGTATCCATTTGCGAACAGCGCTCCTGTTGTCTCCAGGTAAGAGGTGTCTTGCCCCCTCTTTCTTGCTTCTTGCCAGTGCCATTATTTAGTTTAAGACCAATGTCCTTTGATTTATTTAATAGGAACTGCGGGCTCCAGGTAACCTGACAAGTTCTCCTAAGGACTGAGAGCTTTATTTCCCCACTTGAAGTAATTGTGAGGAAGTAGAATTCTTTGAGCATCACTTCTGTCAGCAGATGTGGGTAAAGGCAGAACCGGTCCTCTCTGGGACCAGGAAGAGAGTTGAAACTTACAAACAGACAGTGGGTCATAGACTTCTCCAGCGTCTTAGTTCATCTGTCATTTCATGTTGTAGGGCAAGAGAGGGTGAGAGTCAGGGCTGAAGCTCCTAATGGGATCGTGATGGGATTTGAAAGCAAATACTTTGATCTTGAGGGAACCAGGGGAAAATAATCAGGAGCTGCTGTGAGAAGGTGAAAAGCAATTTTTAAAGAATCTGGAATTTTACTGATCCTGGAGATCTTCCATCTCATTACAGCTGAGACCTAAATTGCTAGAACTTTGGTTCATTTGTCATTGACCCTTGAAGTCACATGTGCCATGAACATGAAGAAGAATTAGGATATTATGGGTGGTGGGAACAATTATCTGGCTGGAAATAGAAATTTGGGGGAATTTATTTTGGACACATTCTCATGCAGAATCTAGGTTCTGTTGTAGGATGAATACCTTCTTTGAGAGTATGCTTGCTTGGGTGTAATGAAATCATAAATGACATCCAACTTCGTGAACAGATAGGAAAGCATTTCCAGCATATCTGCAATTCTGTAACTCTCAGTGCAGGCAGAGTGAGCTATGCAAGATGTCTCAATATAAGTTAAAATCACACTTTAAATTCATCAGTTCTTTGAAGATATAAAAAAAATTTAAGAGCAATTGAGAGGCAAAACATCTTACAGAATTCACTCGTATTCAAAATTAAGAATAGGCTGCACCGGGTATTGAGAAGGGTAATATATAAAGAACATTGACCTCCTTGGAGGCTTTAAACAATAACAATAATAAACATAGGCAAACCTTTTTTTTTTTCCTGGGAAAAAAAAGGGGGGGACTCCTGCTTCCTTGGCCATTTGCTTCCTCTTTATACCAACAGGATAAGAACTACCTCTGACCCCATATATTCCACTATTCCCTCAAGGAATTAATGTCATAGCATTGGGAGTTCCTTCTCCAGTAACTTTCTTGCCTGAGAAGATTTGGGCTTCTTTGTTCCAACTCTTGCTTCCACCCACCCCCACCACCTCCCACACACATAGACACACAACGAAGACTGGTGACTTAATTTAGGCTTTCTTGTACTTTGAACATATTTGCAAAAATACCAATAGAAGCTAAAATAAGAAAAGCAGGTATCACTTTCTAGATCTTTCAGTCTGTAAACTTTTAATCTAGGAGCCCATGGTTAGACTTAAAACTCACTGGAAATCTCATGTTCTTGTCTTAATTTTCCTGGGTGGACAGGCAAACATGATTAACAATGTCTGGTGGTGAAAGACAGAGTAAATACGTTCATTCTGAGCTATACCACCAAGCTCAGGGACCTCGAAATGAGCGCACTAGCTGCATCGCCCCATTTCTTTCTGAGGATACCTGTAGAGCATTGAGAGCAATCTATTCTTGTCTGGCCTGGCAAGCTCTTTGTTCTTCCAATATTTGCTCAATCTTTCATCCTATTCATATTCTCTCTCTTTCTCTCTCCCTCCCTCCCCTCCCCCCTTTCCTGCGATCTGAGAGTTTATTCAGTCAGTCCAAATATCAAAATCACCTATCCTACCCACCCACCTTCACTTGAGATTCTGAGGAGTTACATAAACAAGCTATCACAGTCATTATGGTCTTTTAAATGGAAGACTTGTCACTTTCTCAAGAAAGTAGTTTGAATGTAAAGGAATGATCATTACAGAAATAGAATTACTATCAAACCAAGACACTAAATCAGAGTTGATTTAAAGGCATGTGAATCAGTCACTTAACTGATATATATGGAGTTCCTCTGTGGGGCTGTGGGAGATCCAAAGATAGAGGATTGGTATTTGTCAGAGAGATTTTGGCAAAAAGCTAGATGGAAAAACTGAATGTCACCACAGGGGTGGACAGGTCAGTAGGTAGATCAATATCCTGCCAGATGGATATAGTGCCAGATTGATAGCTAGACAAGGGGTTAGACAGGTACATTTATATGTCACTGGAGAGCTCATTATATTGGTATAGAGTTCTTGAGGCACATGTAAAGTATGACATGGGGGCATCGGGGAGGGAGGAGTAGAATAAAGTAGAATAATACTGTCACTGCTAGGATAGCCATTGTGATATGGTGCCAAAACCTACAAGTAGAGGGAAAAAAAGTACTCTTGTTTTTAAGGAATCTATAAGTCTCTTTCTAAAGGCTTTTTCTCACAGTAGCCTGCAACCTGGCTTCTAGGATCACTGACTTCATAGCCAGAACCCTAGGTATACCCAGATTTACCTTCATAATTAACTAATAAAAGACTCTGAATCAATGGATTGAATAAAGTTAGACTGCTAGAGGGTGTCTGCTTACTTAGAAATAGGACATTGATCCTTAAGAAGTAATTCCTTCTGAAAGTCTTCACCAACGCTACAGGAGGACAGCACCACGGACAGCTCCCAAACATTTTGGGATTGCCTTCTGTGTTTGGGGCCAGAAGCACTCAGTGGAGCGGCCAGCTCAGGAACCCAGTGCATACTTTCTTCCCATCTTCATTCAGGACAACTAAGAAAATTCTCCTATAAAGCAGCCTCTCTGGTAACTTACACTCTTGGCTTATTGTCTTTCCAGTGAATTCCTTTCCTTGCAACTTCAAGGGCTCAAGCCTTACCTATCCCTACATTTCACCAATCCCCAGGTTAGAGAGAAAAGAAGACCTCCTTGGCCACTGACCCACTTTGTCTTTGAGATTATCCAAGGACTAAAGGATTCCCATAGGAGATTCACTGTGTGGAATGAAAGCAATTAAGGAACTCAATAAAAGAATTAATTGCATATAAAAATGTGGGCTTGGAAGGAAAGATGTTTAAATGATCTCTGAAAGAAACAGGCTGCCAAGAGCAATTTTCTAATCAAAGGGGAATAAAAAGATTCAATCTCTATTTCACTCTAATCCAGAAAACATGTCTTCGTGGTGAAGTGGTCTTAAAATGGACTCACCAGCTGAAGTGGAACATTTTTCGCACCATTCAGCATGAGAAGGGACCTCTGGTAAATGAGTCAAGATGCTGGGGGACACAGGGAATGCCTCAAAAAAAAGTAAAGGAAGAACAAGTATTTCTGTTCCAGAAGAAATACACCTGGCTCCTACAGAATTCCTGGGGACCTTTCATTGGATAATCAGGAAATCTTTCAGGAACTCTTCCAAGTTTCTCACTGTGAGGACAACATTCACTTGTACGGAGTGTAGATATTCCTGCTTTCTCCTCTACAGAGGGCACAGTCCCAACGTCGTTGGAAACAGATGTTAACGGGAACCAGTAGACATACCCTTTGGATTAACATGTGGTTCTGGCCTCCAAGGACTTTTATATCAAGTAGTTGAACAGTCAGGCCTAACAATTCAAATTGGCAAATGCTTTTGTTCCCAGCTCTCCAATATCTCACCAGATGACTTGGGAATTTCACTAGGTGCTATTTCGTGGAAGGTCTCTGGGTCAGGTTGCACACTCAGTTATAAGATGGAAATAGGAATACTTATCCCAGGACTGCAGGGGACCCTCTCATGGTCTGACGGTCATAAAATGTTCAGCATGTTATAGAAAGAGACACTAAAAAGTACCCGAAGTCCCTACTCTTGAGAAGAGCTTGCTGTGTGCCCACTGCTCGTGCCTGATGCTCTGAGCTCTAGATCCCTAGGAAGTGCAGAATGTGCTAAAGCTAGTCTGATTTTGTTTTGTTGCAGAGGTGACAGACAGAAAGCTGACTGTGGAGGAGGAGGAGGCCAAGAGGATAGCAGAAATGGGAAAGCCAGTACTGGGCGAACACCCCAAACTAGAGGTCATCATTGAAGAATCCTTTGAGTTCAAGGTCAGGCCATAAGTGAGATCTAATTGAATAATAGAGTAATGCGGTGGGAGGTAGAAGTTTTGTTCCGATTTCACCACTCAATAATGAAGTTGAAACTGAACAAATCACCTACTCACCCAGTGTCAATGTCCCCATGTGTAACCTGGAACGAATAGCCCTGGCCATTTAGATCCTAGGAATATTGGGAGGAAACACAACAAATGGAATAAAAGGGCTATAAAGCCCCTGTATGTATTATTTCTATTGTTCAACTGAATTTTAAAAACAAAAATTCTAAAATTTACTACTTGGGGCAACATTTATTGGTATCAATACCATTATGCTTTATTGTATAGCTCTAAGTATCCAATATCTGCCATCACAACCAAAGAAAAGAGAAATAGAAAGACTGACCCAGAAGATACCATGCAAGGCCATTACTCCCAGAACCCATGTGGATATATGCCCAGAATGCAAGACATCTTTCATCCCCTTGAAGCATCAGACTCCTCCACAGTTCTGAGCATTCTAACTTCATGATTTTGAGTTTTTATCTCCCCGACAGAATACGGTGGACAAACTGATCAAGAAGACAAACCTGGCCATGGTTGTGGGGACCCATTCCTGGAGGGACCAGTTCATGGAGGCCATCACTGTCAGTGCAGGTAAGAGGGTCTCAAGATGGGCACCAGCCTTGCTGAGAGGAACAGGCAACTCCAGAGAAGGGCGAACACAGCCCCATCCGCAGCTACCGATTTCTGGGAAGGCCCCTGCATCCCAGATCTAGTCCTTGCTGTTGGCTTGTTTTACCAGGTCACTTCGGAGAAGAATCATGGGGTAGCTGGGAGAGCCTGGCTACCTGCTGGTTTTAGATCCTGGCTCTGCTGTGTGACGTGGGACAAGTTACCTTCCCTCCACCTCAATTTCCTCATTCAAAAAGGGAATCATTTCGACCTTTTTCAGCAAAGCTGAATGAGAGAGTCCGGTGCCAAACAGAACTCATTAAATTCTGGTTTCCATCATTCCTTCCTCTCATTATTTTGGTCCTCCTTTTCTGTTAACTGGAGGACTACTCTGATTAGAGATGTGGGGGTCCAGAGTTTGTAAATTCCCTGCATTGACACTGGCAAACCTCCACTCTGGATGATTCCAGACCTCTCCTTGGCCATTCACTGTCAGGCTCCCTCAGTGGTGGCCCAGAGCACAGCCAGGGCCCCAGACAAGATGTCTCCATCACCACCCACAGTGCCTCTTGGCACCACGGCACCCTCCTCGTTCTGCCCAGTTCCACTGGCCTTGTCTGCTTTCATGAGGCTTCGTTGTCATAGCAACCCACAGGGTCACATCCCTGAGGCCCAGGAGCCAGAGCAGAAGGACCGCCAGGAAGAGAGGGTGTCTTCAGCCGCTGCTCCCCCACATCTCACGTGGCCCTCCTCAGATCTCCCCAGGACACCCTCTGATGACCTTACTTTGCCCCTAAGGGGACAATAAACAGAATATAGGCCATATCATCAAACCCCCTCCTTTCTCGAACAAAGGAACTGAGGGTTAGAAATAAGAGGTGATTTTCCCCAGCTTACAGATCCTCTTCCTGGCAAAGCTGCAACCGGACCTCACGTGTCCTAACTCCTGCTTGTTAAAACCCTCACTTCCTCTGATCGTGTTAAATCTAACCGAGGCTGCCCCGGAACGGGTGCCAGCGGGCCTCAGCACATCCTCTCCTCCCGGACCGCTAAACGGGCCACTTGGCCCCTGTTTCCTGGCGAGGACAATGGGGCCCAGCCCTGCTCTGTCCCAGGGGATATCGGGAGGATGGCGCTGGTTCTCTGGTATGCCCACATGATCTGGAATGACAGCCGCGCCTCTGGGGACGGATGACAACTGGAACCATGAGGTTACTTCAGCAGGCGGGTCAGGAAAGTTAGGGAGGAGCTCGGACATACAGCTGCTTTTGCTTTTCTTGGCCCAGGCAACTGAGGAAGCCTCCTCCACCCTCCTCTCTGCCTCATCACCTTGTCCCTCCTGTGATCTCCCCTCATCCCGACCCTTTGTCCTCTCTCCTCCCTTCTCTCCCTATTCCCCTGTCCTCTCCCTCCCACCCTCCCTGCTGCCCTGCACTCACCTTGACCAGTGGGCCACCCCCACCTGGCTCCCCTTTCTCCAGTGTTTTCAGGCACCCGCAACCTGGCCCCCCCGGCGGCTCAGGAGAGAGCGGGAGTGTCCTGCCCGCTGATAATGCTTGCCATGTTGGGTTGACCTGAGTTTTCCTGAACAGGGACCTGACCTCGCTGCCCTTCCTGGGGGCCTGTTTTATCTTGTCTGCAGCAGGGGACGAGGATGAGGATGAGTCAGGTGAGGAGAGGCTGCCATCCTGCTTTGACTACGTCATGCACTTTCTGACCGTCTTCTGGAAGGTGCTGTTTGCCTGCGTGCCCCCCACAGAGTACTGTCACGGCTGGGCCTGCTTCGTCGTGTCCATTCTCATCATCGGCATGCTCACGGCCGTCATTGGGGACCTGGCCTCCCACTTTGGCTGCACCATTGGCCTCAAGGACTCAGTCACAGCTGTTGTCTTTGTGGCATTTGGCACCTCTGTGCCAGGTAAGAGTGAGGGGAGCCTGGGTTTGCAAAGAGGTTACTCCTGGGTCCAAGTGACCCCCTCCACTTTGCCTCAAGATCTTCTTAGTACCACCGATCTGAGCTAACAGAGCCTCTGCCCCGAAGGTGTGCGGAAGTCAAAGGGATTCCTGACAACAGTACTAGTGAGAGCAGACATTCCTTGAACCCTTTTGATGTGTCGGGCTCTGTGTATGCCACACAGTTGACATGTTTTCTCTCTGTAATGCTTACCAGATCCCTACGTAATCGGGATCATTATTATCCCCACGTGACAAATGAGGAAACTGAGGCCCACAGAGCTAAATCGGCTGCCCGTGTGAGCAGCCCACTTTCTCAACCTCCACGTGATATGAAGGCCACAAACAACACAATTCAAAGACCATAGATACAGTTTTCCTCCCACGTGTCTCTGGCAGCCTCTGAGACCAAAGATTAGCCCACTGGAAGGTGTTGCCCTGGAAATCTTCACGAGAATTCTTGGCTCCCTCACTTAGAAGGACACCTGTGAGTACAAATCTTCTCCTGACAGGACAGGAGAGGAAGCTTAGTGAGCTTGTGTCGTTTCATATGATGAATTACATGTTCTTTTCTTTTCGCATAAACACCCAGAGATGAACAAGAGCAAGCCTGAATTTATTCATTCATTAGGCAAATATTCACGGAGCCCGATACAGTCTCGTGCTAGGCTGTCGTGGAAGGTGGGCAGGCGCGCTCCCCGCTCTGAGTGGAGTTCAGCAGCTAGCGGCAGAAACGACCCAACTCCCATTATTGAAATCATTTCCGTTCAAGTTAAATGACAAGAGAGTAGAGGTGCTGTGTCAGCATAGACGGAGGGACAGGGCTGGGCTGGTTCGTGGACGGCTTCCAAGAGAGGCTTATATAAGCTGGGCTGGAACGACAAGGAGCAGAGGGCTATGTTAGCTCAGGCTCCTGACTGAGTTCAGCTGGGCGTCCAGGACATCTGCACCTGAACTCCTGCCAGGGAGCCTCCCTGCTGCCACAGCAAGGAAGAGAGAGTGTCAAGTGCCAAGAGGGTTATGTCGAATCCCATCAGACGGAACTCTGCTGGCTGGACCCAGGGAAACCGTTCCTGGACTAAGAGAATAAATCTCCCTGGAGGGTAACTGAATTGACATGACACTCCAGAGAAACCTCGTCCCCAAACCCCAGCACAGAGCAGTGGGATGATTTGCACATTAGTGATGCAAGAGCCTTGGCTCTCCTGGAAATGCGTCAGGTGGTAGGAAATTAGACGGATGGTGCATGGAAAGCTTTGTGGAGGAGATGCCCTGTGATCTCCGTTCTCCAGGCCTTGAGGGACGGAACTAACAGAGGGAAAGGAGCAGAACTATCACAGTGGGAAAAGGGACACACGTGGAAAGAAATTGCAGAGGATCAGAGAGGGAAAAGCAAGGTCATAGGTAAGAAAAGGCAAGAGATTTTCTCTTGGAGATCCGAGAAAATTGGCAAGAAGGAGGCAAGCCAGGACAAGCTTGGGATACTTCCAAGTCCTTGCACTTGGTCAGGGAGCAGCTGGCAGCATCAGGGGCCTGAGAAAGGTTACACAGTGGTGCATTCAGCTGATTTCATGGCTTTGCCCGAAATTCTTTGGGATGATCATATGCAAAGGGCCCATCCATGAGAGTTTTAGGACCAAATGTCTTGTTAACTGCCCGTGTAACCTTGGGTAGATTGCTTGACCCTTATTATCCTTACCTGTGAAACCAAAGGGTAGCTAGATGTCCCTGAAAGTCCTCCCAACGCCTACAGTCCAGGCCAACATCTAAAGTCAAGCAGCACACAGGGCCCCGTGCCCCATATACTAACTACAGAGACTGAGTCCCATCTTCCTTGAGTCTGTACCTCATGGTTCCCTGGCATGTCTCTGTCCGCATAAATCCAGCCCCTAACGCAGTGCCAAGCCCGGGGGCCATGACTCTGTTATGTGAGCTGATATTGTGCAAGATGGTTACAATCAGCATCTACCCTCAGCAGCTTCCCAGGCGGCCAAGTTTCCCTGGGCAGATGGAGAAATAGCAAACTCCCCTTACCGGCGGGGGGGGGGGGGGGAGAAGAAGAAGAAGAAAAAGAAAAAGAAAAATCCAAAGGGAACAGCAAACCCACTCAGTAAACATCAGGACCTAGGCCCTTAGGGATCTTTCAGACCCCAGCGGATGAGGAACCTAAAGCCCAGAGAAGTGAGGTGACCTGTCCAAGGCCACACAGCCTGCCTCTCCTTCCTGAGCTTGGTCTGGGGCCCCAGCTGCCTTCCGGACATATGGTGGGGCCGGGGCGGCAGTGGGGGGCCCTCCGCATCTCAGGCTCCCTCCAGCTCCCATCCTCTCTCCCTCTTCCAGACATGTTTGCCAGCAAAGCCGCGGCCATCCAGGATCTGTACTCTGATGCCTCCATCGGCAATGTCACGGGCAGCAACGCCATCAACGTCTTCCTGGGCATCGGCCTGGCCTGGTCCGTGGCCGCCATCTACTGGGCCCTGCAGGGACAGGAGTTCTACGTGTCGGCCGGCACGCTGGCCTTCTCGGTCACCCTCTTCACCATCTTCGCGTTCGTGTGCATCAGTGTGCTCCTGTACCGCCGGCGGCCCCACCTGGGCGGGGAGCTGGGGGGGCCCACGCGGCTGCAAGCTGGCCACAACGTGGCTCTTCGTGGGCCTGTGGCTCCTGTACATACTCTTTGCCACGCTGGAGGCCTACTGCTACATCAAGGGCTTCTGAGCCTGGGCGCGGGGCCTCCGCTGCACACACCTCGGACTTCTCCTGAGAGAAGGGCACTTGGCCACCATGACCTCGCCCGGGGGGGAGCAGCCCACAGAGGCCCCAGGAACCTCACCCGACCTAGGCCCCCCGGGCAGTGGGACTGAAAGGGCAGAGTCTTAACCAGTCAAACGAGTGGAGGAAACACCCTCTTTACAAAGTATTTAATTCAATACAAACCAACAACAGCAACAAATCCACCTCCTCCCCATCTTCCCATCCGTGTCCTGACCCACAGCAGAGGTCAAACCTTCCACCGCCCTCCGATTATCCCTTTGCTGCTTCTCCTTCCCTGGGGCAGGGCTTCCACGTCTGTCCTGTTGGTCGCATCCCCACACTGTCCCCCAGCTGGCGGGGGTGGAAGTGAGTCCTATTGCCCAGCCCCCTCCGCGCCCCCCCCCCAGGCCACTTTCCGGTTCTCTCTTCATCGTAGCCATTACTGTGCTCACTTTGCCATCAGGTGTCGCTCATTGTTTGCTCATATGTCTTCTCTTTCTGAAGTCAGTTAACAAAGGTGCTGTGGAGGAACTCCCTGGGAGGGACAGGCAGAGACAGGACGCTCAGTGGCACCCTCTCCCCCCCGTCCCCCGGTAACCGCTGTCTTTTGGCTCCAGGGGAGTCCTGCACTGCCCCCCCCCCCCACATCTGCTTTCTTTCTCAGTGGACGAGGGCTGGCGTTTGGGTGGTAGTGTGTTTGCACACCCATGCGGTGGACTGAAGAGCCAGGGCTGTGGCAGGGGCAGGAAGACCTTTATATGCTTCTGTCAAAATCCAGTTTAAAGCAAAAAGTCATGGTTCCTTCCCTCCCCTTTCCAGTTTACTCTGCCCATCTCCCTGGGGCCGGGTCTATACGTTCATCCTTGTGCGGGAGGAAGACCCACCACTTGCGAGACGGGGGACAGGAATAGGAACGGGATCTGATGACAGAGGGCGGCTGGGGAGACAAAAGGCATAGATGGCTTCTTGAGTCATCTTTGGCTTCGGATCTGAGGCGGAGCAGAAGAACTGTCCACCTCGTGAGATCTTTAAGGGGAAAGATTGTGTTTAAAAGCGTCAGTGTGTCCGACGAATGTCAGCCTCACCAGCCCCTCACTTTCTAATGTGCCACACTGAGAGGCCTGACTTTATTTTTTGAGATTTTTTTTTTTTAATCAACCTTGAGGTTGATAAGAAAACCAGGGGCTCCTTCCACCTCTCCTGGACCCTCAGGTCACGTTTGAAAGCATTTTCACAAGAGAGGAACTGGAATTTCTCATCTGTCCCACATTCCTGCTTGTTTTTAAACCTCACGAAGCTCTTTTTCCAGCCTGTGGGCTATTTCTTGCCCCACTAAGAGGAACTTTAGTTGCTATCATCCCACGGAGCCTGGGTTTATAGAAAAAAGAGATTGCCGTGGCCTACAGACCTTTTCCCAACAAATTTGAAAAGGACCTGGCTTTAAAACCCACACGCTTGTGTGTGCGCATGCGTGCACACACACACACACACACACACACACACACACACACACACACACACGGATACACATAGGAACTCATCACAAAACTGCCCACAGATCTTTAGGCTTTCTGCATTGACATAAATACATTTTTTTAAGGGAAAAAAGAGAAATTAAAAAAACACCTGTTTAATTTTAAACACATTTTTTTAAGAAAAAAATAACTAAAAAAGAAACAGTGCTCATGTCATAAGCTATGTTGACAGTTGCCAGTGGAAATGTTGGGTTGGTTTAAAAAAAAAAATAAAAGCTATACTTATATCTCTCTAAATACAGCTTGCTCCTTCCATGTTTCTTCAGGAAGAGGTCCAGGGGGCCAGCTGGGGGTTTTCTTCTGGAGCAGATGTGGTTGAGGTGAAAGTGTCATCTCCTATTTGTATCTCCTGTCTGCCTCTGCGTTCCCTCAGAGGCCAGTGTTCCAGACCCAGTGTTTTTAAAGCAAAAAAATAACGTCAGGGAAATGCCACCTGTCAAAAGCTGGACGATGGGATGCTGGGGGACAGAAGCAGCAGAGCTGTGGTGATTAAGGGAAGGAGGCTTTTGTATCCGAAAGGCACGGTGGGGCAGGAGTCCAGCCAGGCAAACAGGGCCCTGTGTTTATTACCAGTAGGCACATTCGTTCATTCATTGACTCATCATCTGTGCAACAAGTGGATTGTGAACACCGTCTCAGCCTTGAGCTACATTCTGGTGATAGACGGAAGACTTCAAGCAACTCACGGTCCAGAGGCACAGGTAATGCTTTCTTAACCAGGGCCCTTTTGGTTCTAAGAAACAGAAACCCATTAACCTCGTCCAAGAAGTGTGGGGAGGGGAGGCAATGCTGCAAAGGCCTGGTGAAGGGACTGCTGTCATGGAACCCAAGACAGAAGGCACAGCTGGCAATAGGAGGCTGAAAGCCCTCAGGAACCAAGTCTGCTCTTCCCCACCCCCAGATGGCATAGTCCCCCCACTCCTTGCTCTTGTCTCCCCTTCAGATCTGGCCCCTTCCTCTCCCTCTCAAGGTGCTCTGCTTGTCTGACCCATGGCCGAGTGTGGCCACCCGCCCTGACACTATGGCATAACTCTATAGCTCCATTCCCACAATTGACGGGAACATCCCTTTTCTCTTGAGAATGAATTCTTAATGGAGAGAATGAGACCAATCTCCTATCCCCAAAGGGCTATTCCTGAAAGGCAGAACCCTCTGTTGGAGGCTGGGGGGTGCGGTGCCTGTGGATTGGGAGTTTGGTCTGAACTCCCAGTCTGAACGGCTCAGGAAAGGAGAGGGGTGACATCACAGGTACTATTGCCCTTTCCAAAAAGCCAAGTGTTGGGAAGGGGCCTATGAAGCATATGAACCACCAAGGTACAAATAAAAATTCCATTTCTGTCATGAGTGCTCTGAGAATGCCATAAATAGGTACCACCAGAAACACTAACTCAGCCTGGAAGCATTGGGAAAAACAGAGCACGTGACATTTAAGTAGGATCTTGAAGGAAGAATCTTTTGGTGAGGGGGCTTGGTAAGAGGGGTAATAAGCAGGTTATAGTGTCATCCAGGGATAACGCTGGCAGGCTTGGCTAGAATGTAGGGTTCAAGGGGAGGACACGAAACAACCCAGAAAAGTAGACAAGGAGAAAGGTTTGGCCAACAGGCTCTTTCAGTTCTTTGCCAGACGCTAAGATGCAAATGAAAAATGTCCTTTAGCTGATTACATGGTAGATGCTAAGTCATGAGATCCATTTGTACCTACCATTCCCCCTTTTTGAGCCATTTCTGGGTTATCTAGATTTCAGGCTTTTATCAAGGGAGAGGCTGGGATAAACCAGAGGGAATGGGAAAGAGGGTTGAGAAGAAGAGCCTGGGAACCTGAAGCCCCAGGTGCTGGCCTGGAGGCTGTCATTCCTTGGTTCTGTGGACCTGCACCGCTCCATCTCTGCTCTGGACTAGTTTCCTGAGCTACAGATAAGCTCTTCAATGGCCTCAGAGGCTATTACTTCTACCTTTCACTCTGGCCTTCTGGAAAACATATACAAAAGTGATGTGTGCACCTGTGTGTTTATAGGCGTGCACGTGTGCATGTGTGTGTATGTATAACAACAACCTTACCTGACAGAGTGTTGCAGAGGTCCTTTTGGAATTCCCCGGCCCCGTGGCCTGTGTATTAGAGTGAAAAAAGACATTTCCAGCCTTTGCACACATGTTCATTTTCAGCACTTTTTACTGACTGAGCCACACGTTCCCACTCCCAGATTTATTTGTTACCAGGCTGATATTGCTGCTATAATAAGTAAACCCCAGGATCACAGAGGCGTAGCAGGATGAAAGTTTGCTCCTCATTCTTGCGATAATCCGATGAGGATGTGCCCAGGTAGCAGGTAGTTGTCTTCCACATGATGATCCAGGAAATCCACTTCCCTCCATTTTGCATTTCTGCCCCTCACTGAGGCCTTGGCATGCTCCTCTTCCAGTGCCAGAAAGGAAGAAAATTCTAGAAGGCACACACACTTCGGACTCCCTTGGCTCTGAAGTGACGTGCATTACTTTTGCTTGTATTCCATTAGGAAGCGCTCATGGCTTTATCCCACCCAAAGGCAAAGGAGACTGGGAAATACAGACCTGGCTGGGCAGACACTTCCCAGGGTCCACTCTGTTTTACAAGAAAATGAACCTTTATGAACGTATGCCTTCACCACAACCCCTCTGTGCTTAAACATAGATATTTTTAATATCAATGGCAAGAGCCATCTGACCTATATCTATGTGAGGCTTTAGAGGTTATAAAAAGCCTTTTATATACATGTGTTTGAGCTGGATAAAAACCACAGAAATAGATATTATTCTCATTTTATCACTAAAATCCTGAGTGGATAAATGATTGCCAGGAGCACCTAGTTATTAGAGGCAGGACACAAACACAGGTCTTCTAATTCCAGATCTAAGCTCTTCCCAGCATATTACAACCTCTGATGACAAACACCAGAAAAGAGTTTGAGGCCTCCAGGAGGCAGATCTAGCCAGTGAAGGAGCTCCTTGAAAGCAGCCAGGGGCCAGGAGGGAAGGCAGAAGAAACCAGCCAGCAACTGGCCCTCTCATTCTCCTTCAGTTCCCTTCTCCTCTGTCTCCATCCTTGCTGAGCAAGGAGCTTCCTCAAGAGGCAGCTGAATGGACGGATGTTCCAGTAAGAGCCAAACTGGTAGAAATTTCCAAAGGGTAGAAAATTACACAATGGTAAAGTGAGCTGGATTGAGGTGTCAAACTACCATTCATAATGGAGAATTACCTGGCCCCAGGAAGGGGGTGATTCAAAAGACATCTTCTTGGGAAAGAGTATCCAAAAAAGATTCCTGGAAAACTGCCCTAGTAGGTAAATCCTGTGACATTTATGACACTTGCAGAAGAGAACAGGCTATCAAACTTTATAAGAAAAGAGATTAGCCTTGACTCATACTCAAAGGAATTCATCATTCTTTCTTAAATATCTAGAAAGGAGGTCACCCAAGGGAAACTCTTCTGGTGCCTCAAAGTGCTTAAACTCTGATGTCCAGTCTTAGTCC